GATTCCACACCACAATCTGGAGATAGTTGATTGAATCCATAATCCCCACTACAGTGGAAATCACACTAAACCAGAACAGCAAAAGATGCAACAGCAATACAGCTGCATGGGAGGCATTTCATGAACATTAATATATATCACACTAATAGCAGTTTGTCAAATCCTTATTCCCCCAGTCCTGTGAAACATTCGACAAAGGTGTAGGATTTTTTTATTAGCAACTGTGACACATACACCCCACTTTTCTGGGGGTTCTCTGAGTAGAAGGAACGGTTGTTTAGTTGATTTACATGTATGGACTGGATATGCCCTGGGATTTTTAGGCTGAGAACCAGCCTCCAATATCGGTAAAGGCTCCTAACCATTTTTCCTTATGATGAACAAAAGAGGAAGATGGTCTGACAACAATTGATTTCGTACTGAAAACTGAACTACTCTCCGAATAATTTAATGAGTGTAGTGTATCAAGCTCTGACAGGGTCGGGCATGCCTGGACTTGTCCAGGCACAAATACAACAAGCTTCAGATTAAAAGACAATGGGCAAGTAGGATCCTAGCCAGGCCCAATGAAAGGGCTAGGTCCCAGGCCAAGAGGCCAATAGGTCTCTTGGTTACTGTAAATAGCCAATCGGGAGTGGGGGGGTGTTTGGGTGGTGGGTTTCTCTGAGGGAATATAAGCCGGCCTGCGAGCCGGTTAAGGTGTCTTTGTTCCTGACTAAATAAAGGTATGCTTAGCTGAAATCACTCTCCGGATGCATACTTTTCAATGAGACAAAATAAAAGAATGAAAGCAGTGTGAGAGGCACGAATGTCGGGTGGATTTTAAGGTTGTGATCACATGGGAAAATCTCGCAAGCGCCCTGCACCCATCCACAACTGGTCTCGCCCTCCAGAAGAAGCGAAGTTAAAAAATACCTGGGAAAGTGCAGTAGCAAATGGGTTTGCGACGGGCCGCAGATGGACTTCCCCTTGTGATCACTCCGGCGTGCTCCCATTGTATCAGTGATCCCTAGCTGAAGCACATCGGAAACACACGGGGCGAAGAAAAAACCCCGATTCACCCACCGTTATGTCTGATTGTGCAGTGACAGGTCAAATTACTACTCCCACTCCCCCATTATCTGGCATGTGTGACCACACTCAAAGAGTGACAAAAAAGGTATTTTCAAGCAAAATGGCAGAAAGAGACCACCCATCACTCCTAGGAGGGTTTGAGAGACATAACTCACTTAAGTAAGCAAACAGTATATTTATTATTAACAGACAGAGGATCAGATTTGAGGAAACGTCAGGAAACCCAACTTCAGGGTTCCAACAGTGGTGTTGTGATGATTAGAGTATCAGACTTGGATTTGGGAGACCCAAGTTCAAATAAGGTTTCCCACCTCTGCATTGAGAAATCCCTTTAGCTAAACTGCTGGCCCATTTTATGTACTGGCTATTGAACTAATGCATTAAATAAAGCAATGGGAAAGGATGGTTAGTATTTTCTAGATGTATTTTCTATATGTGCTTTCTTTAAGTGCTTTTGTTAACAAAGGGAAATAAGGGGACCTTTTCTCGCTATGACCACCTGGAGGCAGCAATTTCATTTGTGGTCCCAAATCATGATGCAATGAGTGATGCTTCATCTGAGAATTAACAGAGCAATTCAAAAGAGGGGTACGTCCATTTGAAACCATCGGTTTAGGATTGCAGTGTGAGTGATAAACATTTTGGCCACTACTCCTGTTGCCACAGTTATCTAATTTTATTTGACCTCTTCTTGCACCATTTACTTAGGGGGTCTTCAGCAGATTTTGCATCCTGATTTAGACGGGTGATGGGCCTATATGATTCTGCATATGTGGCATCTTTGCTGGTTTCAAAACTACAATCCAGTTTCTTGCTATGTGTTTGGAATTCCCCCTCCAGGCTAATAAACTGTTAAAGAATTTTGTCATATGGGGTATCAAAATCTCTGAGAACTGTCTGTAAAATTCACTGGAGAACCCATCCATTCCTGGATCAATCAGACTGGGCAGGGGATATTATGTCGGGGAGCTGGCCTGGTCTGATCTTTGGTCCACATGATGTCTTCCCAATCTAATTCACTTACTCTCCCCCAGCTAAAATGTGGGGAAAGCCAAGAGCAGATCTCCTACTCAATCCTGCTTCTAAAAACATCATTATATTGCATAGATCACAGGAGGAGGGACTCATGCAAATCCCATTTGAAGTCCAAAGGGGGTAAGATGAGCTCAAAAGGAACATGAACATTTAGGAAGCTCACTTCTATTCCTCAGTCAGAGCTTCCTCCTTCTTGTCTAATTAAGCATTCTTTTTTTCCAATTATATAATGAAATTAATTGTATTGTTCATATTTTTCTTGGTGACTACTCTGAGAGGTAACTATATACTCTATGAGAATTTTAGAACCCTTGGTTTACCTACATCTCCAACTGTATGATGCTCTGAATTCATTGCAATGTTCTCTTTTTCCAAGGGGCCTTTTCGGACATTCAGCTCACATTGTCAGGACCGGGAACACTGAGACCCGGAGAGAATCTCAATCTTGTCTGTAAAGTGACAGGAGTCTCTGTCACTGTAAACAGTTATGCTTGGAACTGGTTCCGTCTGCCTCCTGGGAAAGGTCTGGAATGGGTTTCATATATACACCCCTCTGGCGGGGGCAAATACTATGCCCCTTCTCTCCGAAGTCGTGCCACCATTTCTGCAGACGGCTCCAAGAACCAGTTCTCCCTCCAGCTGAATTCAGTGACGGCTGCTGACTCTGCTCTGTATTATTGTGCCCGATGAGCACAGCGAGAAAATGTCTATTGGACATTCATCAAAAAAGAGGAACACGGGCTTCTCATTTTATTTAGCATTTACAAGCCTTCAGCGCGCATGTGTGGGGGAAACAAAGACACTTCACCTACAGCAAGTGTTCCTTTGCCAAAATGATCCCACGATGCCTTCAATGTCCATATAAAAAACAACCACATCATACAAACAAGCTTCTTAAGAGTTCTCTTGCCACAGTTGATATGGGTGGAAGACAGTGGTGCAGTGGGAGGGGCTTCTAGTGTCCTGGCCCCACTGGTGGACCTCCTGATGGCACCTGGTATTTCTGGCCACTGTGTGACACAGAGTGTTGGACTAGATGGGCCTTTGGCCTGATCCAACATTGGCGTCTCTGATGTTCTTATGTTCTTAAGGATGGCTTCCATACTGAACCCTTATCCTACCACTCCACTAAGCAAAATTATATCCATTTATTAATTAAAATGTTTGTCCCCCACTTTTCGTTTGGTTTATGCCTCCAGTCTGAAGAGTGTCCTTCCAACCTAAGTGGCTCTCTGTTTGGTGGAAGGGCCACATACGTTGGAGGAACAGCAACATAAAGGATGGTTGGGTCCACCCTACTCCTTATCCCCATGGCATAAAAAGGAATTCTCTGCCAATTTCTGCAGCTTGAAGACACAAAAGTTAATATGCTATTTTCCTGGTCAAACCTACCTCCAGGGAAAGCTATTTGGACCTGTAACTCTTCTACCAAGACAAGGTCATTCCACACTACAATCTGAAAGCAGTTTACGGGATCCATAATTACCACCAGAATGGTAAACGTCAAAGACCATAACATCAAAAGATGCAACAGCTATACAGCTGCACTGGAGGCATGTCACAACTGCCAGTTTAATAGCACTTTGTCATTCCCCTGACCCCAGTGAGTCCTGAGAGTCATGTGATAAGGGTGACAGAGCTCTTAGTCAGCAACTGCTCCCCACCATTAGCCAGAAGTACAATTCCAAGTGTTCTCTGGGTAGAAGGAATAGTTGTTCACACATTTAAAACTATGTCGTAAATAACCCCTGGGTGTCTGGTAACCAGGCCGTCAGCTCCCTTGCTTTCAAGCTGTTGATTGACTGATTAAACGACACACACACACCCGTCCATCTGAAGAATATACTTTCTTGTGCTTCTTTTCCTTCTATGATTTCTCTTTAACAAAAATGACTGAGGTACCAAAATGGGATGTGGGAGCCCAAGTGCTTTTGCAAAAGATCTCTAAGAAGCTTGCCTTTTCCTTTTTCTTTTTTTAAAGATTCCTGGCCACATTAGCTGCAGCTTTGGCACCCTCTTATGCTCAAAAATTGGACCACCGCAATTCTCCAGAGATCTCCCACTGGAAGTACGTTGTAGCTCCTGATGCAGCGAAATGTTTAGGCATCTTGATTTAAAAGGGGGATGGACCTATCTGATTTCACACATGTAGCCTCTTTGCCCTGCCTTCAAAACTACAATCTAGTTTTTTGCTACGTGTCTGGAATACACTGTTAAATACACTGCTAATCCACTGTTAAACAAAGTTCTGAAATCAGGTATCAAAGTCTCTGAGAAATGTCTGTAAAATTCATGTGTAAACCCATCCATAGCAGGATCAGTCAAATTGTGCAGGGGCCACGGCGCTGAGGAAGTGTCATGGCCTGTCCTTCTTTCCACATCCTGTCTTCCCAATCTGATTCACCTACTTTCCCCCAAGCTAAGGATGGGGAAGAGCCAGGAAGAAATCTACTCAAGCCTGCTTCTAAAAGCATCATTATATTGCATGGATCACAGGAGGAGGGACTCATGCAAATCCCATTTGAACTCTCTCATTGGAAGTATGTTCTAGCTTCTGATGCAGGTAAATATTTTGGCATCTTGATTTAGGAGGAGGATGGGCCTAGATGATTCCAGGCATGTGGAATCTTTGCCTGTTTTAAAACTACCATGGAGTTCCTTGCTATGTGCCTGGAATAGCACCCTCTGCTAATACACTGTTAAACACTGTTAAACCATGTTGTCAGATTACATGTCAAAATCTCTGAGAGCTATCTGTAAAATTCACTGGGAAAACCATCCTTTCCAGGATCCATCAAACTGAGCAGGGAATATGGTGCTGGGGAACTGTCATGGTCTGTCCTTTGATCCACATGCTGTCTTTCCATTCTAATTCTCATACTCTTTTTCAGATAATTGTGGAGAAAAGCCAGAAGCACTTTGTCAGATTCCTGCAGCAATCCGTTCCCAACAGCTTTCATTCAAAGAAGTAAAGTTTATTGAGACGTCTGAAAGTATGCAGATATCTAACTCTTGTGTTAGAACTGACTCCAAGCACATGAACCAGACAGATATACAATATTCAGGGGGGGGGGTCTCCTGATGGCCCAGGGCAAATCAGAGATCAGGTAAAAGTCCGCCAAAGTAATGGGCCATAATACTCAGGAGAAAGACAACACCAGGGACTCAAGGTTAAAAGCTTTGGTTAGATAGATAAGTAAGGCACTGAAGACAAAGCAGAAATTAAAGTCAAAATTCCAGAGTCACCTCCTCACTCCCATGGCACCTAGAGGCCTAGCTGACAGTCTTCTTCTCTAGCCTGCTTCTAAAAACATCATTATATTGCATATATCACAGGAGGAGGGACTTATGCAAATCCTATTTGAAATCCATAGGGGCAAGATAAGCTCAAAAGGCACCTGAACGTTTAGGGAACTCACCTGGGTTCCTTGGTCAGAGTTTCACATTTCCTGCCAAACTAAGCATCATGAAATTAATTATATTTTTTGTATTTTTCTTGGTGACAACTCTGAGAGGTAAGTCTCTATGAGACTTTTTTAACCATTGGTTTAGCTATACCTCCAATTGTACAATGCTCTGAATTTATTGCAATGTTCTCTTTTCCCAGGAGCCTTTTCAGACATTCAGCTCACATCATCGGGACCTGGAACATTGCGACCCGGAGAGAATCTCAATCTGGTCTGTAAAGTGACAGGAGTCTCCATCACTCATAGCAGTTATGGTTGGGACTGGATCCGTCAGCCTCCTGGGAAAGGTCTGGAATGGGTTGCAGGAATATACCCCTATGATGGCAGCAAGAGCTATCCTTCTTCTCTCCAAAGCCGTGTAACCATTTCTGCAGACAGCTCTGAGAACCAGCTCTCCTTCCAGCTGAACTCGGTGACGGCTGCCGATTCTGCTGTGTATTTTTGTGCCCGGTCATCACGGTGAGACAAAGTCAACAGGACGAGCATCAAAAAAGAGGAACACAGACCTCGGGTTTTATTTTGAATTTACAAGTCATACATAGGGTGGGGGAGAACAAAAACATTTCGACTACAGCCAGGGATCCTTTGCAAAAATGATCCCATGATCCCTTCAATGTTCATGTAAAAAACCCACCACATCATAGAAACAAAATCTTAAGTGTGCTGTTGCCACAGCTGAAATGGGTGGAAGACAGTGTTGCGAGTATGGTCGTTGCATTTCACCCTTATACTACCATTCCACTGAGCTGAATGTGTCAATTTATTAATTAAAATGTTTGTACCCCACTTTTCCTTTGTTTTAGTCCTGGAGCCTTCCCCAGTCTAAAGAGCATCCTCACAATGCAAGTGGCTCTCTGTTTGGAAGAAGGGCCACGTAAGTTGGAAGAACAGGAACACAGAGGGTGGTTGGCTTCACCCCACTCCTTAGGCAACACCCACCACTCAGGCGCCACTTGACTGTTTTGGATTGCTAGCTATTGGGGGGGGGGGAAACATGCAGATCTGTCCTCGCAGAGAAAGGAGAGCTTGTGCCTGAATAAAACTTGATCTTCAAGGTGCCACTGGACTGTTTTGGACTGGGGGAAGCTCTGCAGCTTACCTGGCTGCTTCTTGCTCTGACTGAGGGCTGCTAGGAGCAGGGGGCGAAGCTTGTTGCATGTGCCCGCCCCCTGGGCTCTTTACTGCCGGAGCTCCGCTCCTGTGTGCTCCTGCAGGAAATGACCCCTGGTAAAGAGCATACTTCCAATGCAAGTGGCTCTCTCTTTGGAAGAAGGGCCACATAAGTTGGAAGAACAGGAACACAGAGGGTGGTCGGCTCCACCCCACTCCTTATCCCCAGGTCATAAAAAGGCATTCCCTGCTGATTTCTGCAGACTTAAGTCATAAAAGCTGATATGCTATTTTCCTGGTCAGTTGCCAAACCAGCCTATAGGGGGAGCTGTTTGGAGCAATAACTCTTCTACTAAGAGAAGGAGACTCCACACTAATATCAGGTGGCAGTTTACAAGATCTGTAATTTGGCTCCTCTGGCCACCGGCCTTGTGGCCATGCGGCCTGGGGGCTGCCTGTGCCTCCCTGCAAGGAGGAAAGGCCATTAAAAGAACAGCAAACAAGCCATATCTGAGTGTTAGCTGGGGGGTGGGGTCAGAGGCCTTTTGTGCCTGCTCCCACCCTTCCAGCTTCAGTCTTCGCCCTCTGCTCAGCCCTCCCTCCCTCCCTCTTTATAGTACAGGCTTTTGTTGGTCGCCCATTTGGGGGCCAGGTAGGAATTTTTCGCCCTTTCTGAAATTGGCTCTACGGGGGGGGAGGTGCCTACCTTGTACTGGGGCAGTGGATTGGAAAATTGGTTTGGGTACGGCCGTGTTAAGTTTGTGACTTTAGCATTTGGTGGGGTTTTATTCAGATACTGGTTGTGGTCTGGTGAGCACCGGCTGACACCCTTTTCAATGCTAGGGGTTTTGTGAGTACAATTCAGGGGCCTTGTGGTCCTGGACGGGGAAAGCAGACTGCCTATGGGACCTCCTGGGATAGATCCTCCCTTTGAGCCTTCCGACTTGGGGGTCGATGTTCCTGGAGGTTATCTGGTAGCCAAACGGGCCGGGCGAAAGCCATAGCCTGTTGGCTCCCACTCAGGGCTGGGGGCTCGCTCTGTTTCAGATGGCGAGGAATGGGTCTTTGGACCCATGGCCCTGACCATTCCGCTTTGCACATAGCCCTTGCTGTTGTTCCAATTGTCACTAGTTAATAAAGTGGCCCATTTAGTTAACCCAACATCAGTGTCTGTCTCTTCATTCCGGCTAGGGGGGCAATTACCGCCAGAATGGAAAACATCGTAAGTCATAACATCGAAAGATCCAACAGCAATACAGCTGCACTGAAGGCATGTCACAGCTGCCATTTTATTTCATGTTATCATACCCTGTCCCCAGTCAGTCTTGAGAATCATGTGACAAGGGTCTAAGAATCCTTGGTTAACAACTGCTCCGCACCACTACCCAGAAGTACAATTTCAAGTGTTCTCTGGCCAGAAGGAATGGTTGTTCACATATTTACAACTATGTAATAGTTACATATGTAACTATTACATACTATGTAATAGTTACATATTTACAACTATGTAATAGTTACAACTATGTTGTAAATAACACCTGGGTGTTTTATGCTGAAAACCAGGCAGCCAGCTTCCTTGCTTTCATACCTTTGATTGCGTGATCAGACCCTGTGTCCATCTCAAGAATATGATTTTGTCATTCTTTCCTCCTGTGATTCCTCTTTAACAAAAACAGCTTTAATACAAAAACGGGATTTGGGAGCCCAAATACATTCCCATGAGAACTCAAAATGCGTTGTTTAAAAAAACAAAAAAAAACTGGTCACATTCACTGTAGCTTAGGCACTCTCTTATGTTGGAAAACTGGACCACCCAAACTCTCCAGAGTTCTCTCATTGGATGTATGTTGCAGCTCTTGATGCTTCCCACAGTTCGGGAAACTAGACAATGCACAGTAATCAATTCTCAATTCTGGCCAGCTAGTCTAAAGCCAGATAAGAAATTGGGGTTTTTTGGATTCTTTTGCTAAACTGATCTCTTTTTCACAGGCTGTCTCCTTCTCCTGCTGCAGATGAGGAATTAATCCACGTAACCCCCCTTCATGCCAGTTCTCCCCACCAGTTCTAATCTGTGCCGTTTCATATGCCTTGAAGAGGCCCACCTAGGTGGGCCTCTTCAAGGCATATCTCTTCAAGGCATGTCTCGGAAATTTCACTGACAGAACTAAATTCATATTTGTCTCCTTCCCCACCAAACCCTAATAGGAGAAACAGTGAAGTATATTTGTGGTCAGCAACTGACAAATTTGAGTTCCACATCTGGCATCTCATGAGGGCTGCTGCGGGTCTCATTATGTGCAAGGAGACGACAATTCCCAAAGGTCCCCCCCTTGAAAGAGTTTCCACACGCTTATGTTTGAAACAGAATAACTATTGTTAGGATCACTCCCGTAAGAGTTCAGAAGAAAGCAGGTGTACGCCAGGCGTGCTTGGTTAATCCCACTGTTAACCCCAGAATTGAGCGTGCACACACACACACACACACATAGTTTTCTTCCTGTGACTCCTTTTTAACAAAAATTATCTGGGTACACAAATGAGATTGGGGAGCCCAAACACATTTCCAAAGAACTAAAAAAAAATTGCTTAAAAAAATCATCCCTGGCAAGATGGCTGCAGCTTTGAAAACGTTGTCATACATACATCTTACCAAACAGGATCACTATTGGTAGGATCCAAAAAAGAGTTCCAAAAAAGGCAGGTGTCCTTCAAGTTTGCTTCTCTGGACTCTGCCTGTCAGGGCAGATAACAACAGTCAAGGGTCCCAGTGCCCCCCAGGCCTGTCCCTAGTGACCAGCGCATCATGTGATTGTTGGGAGTGTTTTCTAGCGGGTGGGCACTGAACTTCACCCGACACATAAAGTTCCGTCCAGAGAGTGCTCGGAAGAACAGAGGCCTGGCGGAAGCGCATCAGTAGGTCACATCACTCCAAGTGACTGCAGTCAATTGATTCATTCTTATATTACAGGCAAATGGTTGTTCAGGTTCTGAAGGGGTGTCATCCTGCATAAATACTGTTGGTGATTTATGCAAAGACCAGCCACACTTGCTTCCTATTTAAACTCTCAACGCCTCTTCATCTCACCCAGACTTCCTGGCGCAGGAGACAGGAGTCCAGTTGAGATCTCGTCCGTCATTCCACTATGCCATTCTTCTTGTCAACGCTCATTTTCTTGGCTTTCTCCCCATGTATGTCGATCTTTTAGAATCCAGCTCCTTCCATTGCTATATTTGGGTTGCACATGATCCCCATGAGCTGCTGATGTTCCTATCTCAACCAGTTCTCTCTTTCCCCCCTCTGTTCCTCCCAGGTGTCCTCTCACAGGTGGTTCTCACCCAGTCAGATCCTGCAGTGAAAAAACCAGGAGAATCCCATAAACTGTCCTGTGCCGTCACCGGATTTGATATTAACAGCTACTATATGAGCTGGATCATGCAGAAGCCAGGCAAAAAACTGGAATGGCTTTTCGAGAACTATAGTTCCTGTTT